TGTAGTCCACGAAAGCTTATGCTCTAATAAATGTGTTAGTCTCTAAGGTGCCACAAGTACTCCTGTTCTTTTTGCAAAAATGATGTGAACTTGGAAGGGAGAATGAGCGGAAATAATTATGGGGTTGAAACAAGAACAAGTTAAAAATTACTTAGACAAGTTAGAGGTCTTCAAGTCACCAGGGCCTGGTGAGATACATCCTAGAATACTCAAGGAGCTGACGGAGGAGATATCTGAGCTATTAGCGATTATCTTCTAAAAGTCATGGAAGACTGGAGAGATTTCAGAGGGCTGGAAAAGGGCAAATATAGTGCCCATCTATAAAAAGGGGAATAAGGACAACCCGGGGAATTATAGACCAGTCAGCTTAACTTCTGTACCTGGAAAGATAATAGGGCAAATAATCAATTTGCAAACACCTACCTAGAAGATAATAAGGTGATAAGTAACAGTCAGCATGGATTTGTCAAGAACAAATCATGTCAAACCAACCTAACAGCTTTCTTTGACAGGGTAACAAGTCTTGTGGATAGGTGGAGGAGTAGAAGATGTGGTATATCTTGACTTTAATAAGGCTTTTGATACTATCTTGCATGACTTTCTCATAAACAAACTAGGGAAATACAACCTAGATGGAGCTACTATAAAGTGAGTGCATAACTGGTTGGAAAACCATTCCCAGAGAGTAGTTATCAGTCAAGCTGGAAGGACATAACGAGTGGGGTCCCACAGGGATCAGTTCTGGATCCGGTTCTGTTCAATATCTTCATCAGTGATTTAGATAATGGCATAGAGAGGACACTTATAAAGTTTGCGGATGATACCAAGCTGGGAGGGGTTGCAAGTGCTTTGGAGGATAGGATTAAAATTCAAAATGATTGGACAAACTGGAGAAATGGTCTGAAAGAAACATGATGAAATTCAAATAAGGACAAATGCAAAGTACTCCACTCAGGAAGGAACAAACAGTTGCACACATACAAAATGGGAAACGACTGCCTAAGAAGGAGTACTATGGAAAGGGATCTGGGGGTCATAGTGGATCACAAGCTAAATATGAGTGAACAGTGTAACACTGTTGCAAAAAAAGCAAACATTCTGGGATGTATTAGCAGGAGCGTTGCAAGCAAGACATGAGAAGTAATTCTTCCGCTCTACTGCCTGCTCAACTGGAGTATAGTGCCAAGTTCTGGGTGCCACATTTCAGGAAAGATGTGGACAAATTGGAGAAAATCCAGAGAAAAGCCACAACGGTTAAAGGTCTAGAAAACATGACCTCTGAGGGAAGATTGAAAAAAAAAAAAGGGCTTGTTTAGTCTGGAGAAAAGAAGACTGAGAGGGGACATGATAACAGTTTTCACGTGCATAAAAGGTTGTTACAAGGAGGAGGGAGAAAAATTGTTCTCATTAACCTCTGGGGATAGGACAAGAAGCAATGGGCTTAAATTGCAGCAAGGGCAGTTTAGGTTGGACATTAGAAAAAACTTCCTAACTGTCAGAGTGGTTAAGCACTGGAATAAATTGCCGAGGGAGGTTGTGGAATCTCAATCATTGGAGATTTTGAAGAGCAGGTTAGACAAACACCTGTCAGGGAGGGTCTAGATAATACTTAGCCCTGCCATGCGTGCAGGGGACTGGACTAGACGACCTCTCGAGGTCCCTTCCACTTCTATGATTCTATGTCTGGTGAGAGAGATGACCAGTGATGCTGGCAGCTGTTTTAGTGCTTACATTTGGGGAGTTTCTAGAATGACATGCAGCTTCTGAGCTGCAGGGGACGAGGAAGACACATTCTGCAATTTGATGCACGACAGGAAGAGAAGGAGACTTAGGCCAGGTCTACACTAAAAAGTGAGGTTGACCCAGCTACATCTCTCAGGGGTGGGAAACCCCCCCCACGCTGTGTGATGGAGTTAAACCAACCTAATCCCTGGTGTAGGCAGTGCCAGGCTGACAGAAGGATTTTCCCGTCGACCTAGCCACTGCCTCTCGGTGATGGGAGTCGAACCCCTTCTGTTGCTGCCACTGCAGCCTTTTAGTGAAGCCACAGGCAGCCTCACTCTGCAAACCAAGAGCTGTTCACCAGTCCACTAGTTCCTCTTATTTCCTCTGAGTCCCCCCGCCCTTTTTTTTTTAAAAATGGGCATTTCACATAATGTTAAAGCCAAACACAGAAGCATGCCAGGAGGAATACCTGCTCAGCTCCTTAGAAACCAGAGACGGGGGCGGGGGCAGCCACACCCCAGCTCCGCTGAACATAAATGACACATCTAAAGGGTCCCAACGACTGGAAAACACCATGACAATTTCAAACCCTTTCTGAAGCAGGAGTAATCTGGCCTCTGGGACACTTAACCATGGGGGTCAGGAAGGAATTCCCCCACAGCCTTGGTGTTTCCTCATCTTTCTTTAGGCTGAGGTGTGCCTGGCTCACGTAATCAATTTCCCAGAACTGCAACTGGGGAGCAGGGGGTGGGGAAAGGGACTAGCCTTTTCTCTCCTCTCTGCTGTAATTAGAGAGGGGGCTCAAGCCATAAAGTCTGGATCCAGATTTCAAACCCCATCCCCCAAGTTTGGGAGAGTTTGGATCCAGGACTTTGGTTTGCAGCATAAGGATCAGGTCCATTTGCAGAATTTGGATCTGGCCCTGCCCCGGGTTTGAATTCAAAAACAAGGGGATGGGTGAATGGACCAGGGCTTATCTCTAGTTTAACCCAGTGGCACACCCTAGTTTTACGAGGCGTGCGGTTGCCAAGAGCTTGGATATTGGTATTTTGCTCAAACTGGCTGGTGCATGAACAGAGATGCAGGAGGGCAGGCAGAGCAGGTTTCACCTCTTCCCCGGTGGTGTGCAGTGCGCTTTTCCTCTCTGGGAACAACCTCACCAGCTTCTCTCCCTTGGCAGAGGGAGCCCAAACATGCCGAGCATATTCACCTATCTCACCTCCGAAGTCGACTGTTGTGAAGGCAACTTTGAGCACTCTGAGGTCATCGCGGAGTACTACAACACGGTGAGTGTGAGCAGGCAGGGGGCAAGAACTCACTGTGAACTGCTGTGCAGTGACTGTGAAATTCAAACCCATCCCTGGGGCAGCTGAAAACAGCAACTGGGGGGCAAATGCTGTGTATAATCGAGGGAAGAGGCAAGTGGAGATGGGATAGGCCGGGCAGGTCTGAGAAGTGGGCTGTCTCCGGGCACCCCCCTGCTTTGAGTATCAGTGTTTTGGGAGAGTGGGTGTGGAAAGAAGTGCTAAACTCCAGGTAAATCATGGGATATTTATTGCTGATGAAAGTGAGATGCTGACAGCATCAGCTAGGGTGACCAGATGTCCCGATTTTATAGGGACTTTTGGGTCTTTTTCTTACATAGGCTCCTATTACCCCCCACCCCCGTCCCAATTTTTCACACTTGCTGTCTGGTCACCCTAACATCAGCTGGAGTTGGGGATCCAGGAGGTGGGTATGATGCAGGGTTCCCACTCAGAGAGCTCTGCAAAAATCCTGCTTTTCAGTCCGGCAGGTCTTCTGCCAGTTGCTGTATATGCCACAGCGAGATTCATGTAATACAGAGAAAAATACATGAGTGGCTGAAACGCACTGCAAGCCAGCTTCTGAACCCAGGACTCCAGAAAGTGGAATGTTAATGCAGTAACAAACCACATCCCCGCCACACTTAAGAACGCAGTCATTGCCCGGCTAGATCAGCTGAGGGGACCCATCTAATCCAGGGTCCTCTCTCTGATAGTGGCCAGGACCAGCTTTTTCAGGGGAAGGTGCTGAAGTGGGCAGTCATGGCATAACCTGCCCTGGGAATGTTTCCTCCTACCCCCATCCCCAATAGTTAGGGGCTGGCTTAAACCCTGAAGCATGTGAATGTGGATCCCTCCCCAGGCTCTGTTCTCATTCTGGATGTTCCCATCATCCACAAAGATGGTTCTTCCTTTTGTGATGCCTCCCAGTTTTAACAATTCCCTTAACACGGTACTGCAGCTTCCCCCTACTAACCCACTGCCAGCATCTCCCATCCAATTAGCGCACAGTTCTCTATGGGTAAAGCTTCGCTGCAGCTGGGAGCGAGCCTCCCAGCCCTGGCAGACAGACGGGCGCTCAAGCTAGTACACTAAAAACAGCAGCACGGGCATTGCAGCACTGGGGGTAGCTCAGGCTAGCCAGCTGCATCTAAACCTGTCTGACCCCCTGCGTCCCAGCACGGGTGACTAGCCACTGCCTGTCCCACAACGGCCACCCTGCGTTTTAGCCCACTAGCATGAGCCTGTCTATCCAGGCTGGGAGGCACAGTGCCAGCTGCAGAGTAGGCATTACCCTGAAGTCCCCAGGACAAATTCCACCTTAGTGCAAGTGAACACAAATCCTACAGATTTCAAAGCGGTATTGCACCTGCTTGCACCAGAGCTGAGTCTGGTCCAGACAGAACGCCCACTTGGTCTACATTACCCTGGTCTTACACAAGCCAGAAAATGTCATCATCAGCGCAAGTATCCCTACATTGCCACTGGCACCCACTGTCTGACTGACTAAGCACAGAACTTGCACGGCAAGTGGCGGTGCATCGCTGCTGGATGGGCCCATAGCAGATGGGGGAATAGCACGCAACGACTCTAACATTTTTTACACTTGGGTAACTCAAGTCAGACACTTAGGATTTTCAAATGTGACTAGTGGTTCTCAGTGCCCCTAAAGGGGCCTGGTTTCGGAAAGCGGTGAGCAATCCACCCTCTGAAAACAAAGCTCCTTGGAAGCGTCTCCAACCTAAAAAATCATGAGTCTTGGCCCTGTGTTTTTTAGCACCTAAGTAAGTTCAAAGGTAGAAATGTCAAGAGACGTAAGAGCAGAGTCCCGTTTTCAAAAGAGACTTGGGCTCTTCAAGCCAGATTGTTAAAGGCACTAGAGCACCTAAAGATGCTGATAAGCACCTAATGGGATTCTCAAAAGGACCTAAGGCCCTGACCCTCGAAGGCATTTAGGAGGAAATCAATGGGAGTTAGGGGCTGAAATACCTTTGAGAAGGTGGGCCCAAGTCACTTTTGAAAAGGAGACGTAAGCATTGGGATGCTGAGCCAAGCAACAACTTTAAAAAACTGGAACTGAGGCTCTTAAATCCCAGAGGTGCTTCTGAAAACGTCACCTTAAGTGTCTAAATATGGGGTTAGGTCAGAGGTGGGCAAACGACTGCCCGTGGGACCGTCCTGCCCGGCCCTTGAGCTCCCGGCTGGGGAGGCTCGCCCCCGGCCCCACACCAGCAGCCTCAGCTGACGGCGCCGCCAGCGCTCTGGGAGGTGGGGCTGCAAGGTTCTGCTGGGCAGCGTGGCTGCGAGAGCTGCTGGGTGTACTGTCTTAAATTGCTCCCTGTAGGAATGTGCTATTTACGGGGCACCAGGACTGGCAGCCGTAAGTAGTACACCGTAAGTAGCGCATTCCTACGGGGAGCAATTTAATACACTGCACCGGCCCTCCGTACACTTTCAGAACCCCGATGTGGCCCTCAGGCCAAAAAGTTTGCCCACCCCTGGTTTAGGCGCTTAACTTTCAAACCTGGATGCCTAAAGTTCTGACCTAACCAGGTTTGTCTTATGTCATTTCCACTAGCCAGGCCTCCTCCACGAGCTTGTCTCTCATAGGATGGAGAACGAGCTAAAAGTATTTTTATACCCAGGTGCCCAACTAGTGAGATCAAGAGCGAATATAGATTATGCAGACAGCGTAAACTTACTGGATTTGTTCTGGTGATGAAGTGGCTAGTTGCGTCCCTTCAGTTTGAACACGGAGCAACTGCTCAGAGAGAGAGAGAGATTTTTCTGGTCCTTGGGGGCACCTGACCTCACTTACTCCAATTGTACACTTATTAGGCCCAGAACCTAGGGTCCAGATGTCCCGATTTTATAGGGACAGTCCCAATTTTGAGGTCTTTTTCTTATATACACTCCTATTCCCCCCATCCCCATCCCAATTTTTCACACTTGCTGTCTGGTCACCCTACCAGAACCACAAAGGGATATAGGCTCTTAACTTCCATTGAAATCAATGGACATTAGGGGCCTAAATACCTTTGTGGATCTGGGCCTTACTTCTTTGACTGCAGTGGAGTCGCTCCCCATGAAGGTAATTTTGATCCACACTCAGGTTCAGCTCCCGATTCAAGAAAGCATCCCTTACGTGGGTGTTTTGCTTGAAGCGTGTACTTAAATCCCATGGGATGGAAGCAGGTCCCTGGGGCTGAAGCATGTTCTGAAGTGCTGTCCTGACTGGGAGTGGATTTAAGAACATTCATAAGCGCTCTCCTGAATAGGGCTCTTGCATTCAGGTGTAAGAGCCCGATCCTGCAAGATGTTGAGTGCTATTCCATTAAAGTCAAGGGGAGTTGAGAGTACTCAGCACCCCTCAGAGCAGGCCCTCCGCAAGAAGAAAATCAGGACCATCGTCTTCCTCTTTGCATCCACCGTAACTGGCCGTATTTCCACTTTAAAAGCCCTCCCTTCCCCCATAGCACTGTTCCATTGAGCTTGGGGCCGTGATAATGCTTTCAGGTTGTGCACTGGCAAACAGACCCACACCTGCAAACGCTCTCACGCGGTCTCCATGGAGAATGCGGCACGGCGTCCACTAACGAGATGCAACATTCAACAGATTATCATATGTTATCCAACTGGCAAACATGGGATTGAGTCGCTGGTGATGATAATGTGGCTGCTAGGCTACAGTTAGCAAACATTGCTTTGACCCATTGTTGCAGGGCGTGGCTGGGCCACGATAGGCCATGGTGGTTAAAAGATCAATAAGCATCTCAGAAAAAAGGAGGGCTCTAGGGTGGGGCTGGTCATAGGATATGGAGCCTTTCACCTATAGATCCATAGTGATCAAAAGTCACTGCCGCTTGTCCTTTGTTCAGCTTTGGGCCTGATTCTCCTTTACGCTGCACCTGGTGCTGTCATTTTCACCAGTACAAAATGAATGTAAACTTGCCACCAGATCGGAGTGGCAGCACCTTATACTCACTTTGCAATGGTGGAAACAACTGCGCAAAGTGAAGGAAAAATCAGGTATCAGAGGGGTAGCCGTGTTAGTCTGAATCTGTAAAAAGCAACAGAGGGTCCTGTGGCACCTTTAAGACTAACAGAAGTATTGGGAGCATAAGCTTTCGTGGGGGAAAACCACCAGCTTCAGATACGTAATAATGGAGTGTGTTACCCCCCAAACATT